CTCTATTAAGACGCTCTCGGATGCACGCAGATCCCATCCGTTTATTTGTCCAAGTGAATGCGTCACCTTGGAAACCAGGGTCATGGAGACCAATGTCATTAATAAAATCCCGGAGGCTAATCGATTGGGCCACATTCCAAGCATTGCCCCCCTCTTTTTCACGTGCATGGAGGGTGGCATTGAAGTCACCCATGATCACAAAAGGTATTTGAACATTTTCGCACACCACACGGAGTTGAGCCAATTGGGAATCCCTCGTAGCAAGATTACAACTGATATAAACACAAAAAACAATATAGGAGAAATCACTTTCATTAATCCTTATCCCAATACAAAAATCAGAATGATAGAACACTGAAGCGCTAACATCCTGGGACCACGCAACAACAAGACCACCAGATGCTTCAATCGCATTCACAAAAAAACTCTGAGAAGACTCAAAACCAAGGTTCCGTAAACGGCGAGAAACTACTCTCCGGCGAGCTCTTGTCTCGGAAAAGAAGACAAGGTCCGGTTTATTTGACCTAACTAGACCCAAAGCAGTTTGGAATGTGAGAGAAGGGCCTATTCCTCTCACATTCCATGCCAATAGTCTCATTTATCTTCCTGGGACCATTTCGGGCTGGTTTCCTCCACCATAGCAGCAACATCTTTTTCTTCCACAAATTTTTTTTTGGCATAGGGGGTTCACATGCGCCCTCCTCCACCTCATCAAATCTTCTCTTCCTTTCCCCGCCGTATAGCACCTCATAATTGGACCCATATTCATTCAAACCATCAATGCCACCATTGGGAGCCGAAGATTTGCCCGCCGGCAGCTCTTGCACCACACCCTCCGGGGCAACGGTTTGGATTGGCTTAAGACTCAACCCAGCCTCAAAAGCGCGCACAACTTGCTGCACATGTCCCTTACCAATCAGGTCTCCGGCCGGCCTTCTACTCCTTATTTCAAATTCTTGCTTCTCATTCTCGGGACTGGACTCCGTCGAGGCGCCCAAATGGGGGTCATCGACCCTCTGATTGGCAGCCGCTCGCACCGGGGAAGGATCCACAGCAGCCACCTCTTTCACCGGGATATCTACCCATGGCCCCGTCTCAACAAACGGAGAGGCCAATCCCTGCTTCTCCTCAGCAAAACCCGCCGCTTTCCTCAGCCTGCTTTTGTACTTGCTGGCCGCTCCGCCTTTCCGCTGCACCACGCACCGATCTTCTTTTTTGCGGTGGGAGCCTACAAGGGGAACTTGGACACCCACCTCAGCCATCGCATCCGATTCGCCTTCCTGTCCCGCTAGAGTCTCCTCTCCCAGCCGGCCACTATCCACCAGAGAGGCAAATAGCGGCTCGCCATCGTCCTCCGACTCGTCTTCCAGCAGCAGCCGGCGTCGCCGAGAAACAGTAGGTCGCTGGCCCAGCTCTTCCTCCCGCTCAAGACCCAGCTTCGACTTGGGCCCCGGTGTATCTTTCTTGCGGGCCTGGATACCCTCACCATTCTCCCGGGCCCGTTGCCCTTTCTTACCGCCGCCCATCCCATCTTCTCGGCCGGGCTTTGTGAGCCCACGATTGGCTTTGCGGTCTTCCTTTGGGCCGAGTTCAGAATTCCTCTTCACTGGGCCCAATTTTTCTTTTCCTTTAGTTAGACGCTAGCTGTGTAGACCCAAATTCAGTTTGGGCGAGTGGGTCACAGAGAAGCCCTTCCGATTTCGCCTAGGAGCCGGATCGTGCAAGTTTCCCTTCGGTTGCCTCTGCCCATCCACGACCGAGTCCTGGCCAAACTCAATCCGGTCCAATTCTTCCTTCGCAACAGCATCAGCCGATATCTTTGCTTCTTCCTCCTTGATAGGCAGCATTGGTTGGTGTCTACCTGAATATTATTATTGACCCAAACGGTCTTTTTCATCCCAGGTAACGGGATGGAAATATCATCTGCATCATATATTCGAGTCCCCAATTTCTTGGTCATCATATGGGGCCCAAATCGTTCCTTGCGAGATGGAGGATCAAACGCACATTCGCGTTGAAAGTGTCCCACACTCCCGCAATGGAAACAAATTGATGGGGAGATGTTCATACTTCAATCGCATCCAAAAGCGTCCCGTTTCCTCACTAGCCGCCATTATTTGTGATCGCAGGGGGCGAGAGAAATCAATCATCGCTTTGACCTTTAGGAAATAGGTCCCTGTATCCTGACAGGAGTAGACCCCTGCTTCGAGGACTTGGCCAATGGTGGGATTCGCCACCTTCATTCCAAATTTTGATGTACAGCAATCCTTCTGAACATCCCAGAGCTGCACCCGAAAAGGCGCCACAGCTAGCTCTTCGTAGGTCTGTCGAGTGACAGCCGGGGTCCATGATTTTAAATGGATGATCCTATCATTGATCACCCAAGGGGTCCTTTTCAACACCCACGTCTTGGATTCTTCATTAGGGAGAACAAATTCGAATAACCCATGGTTTGCTTGCAACACTTTGATTCTCCCTTTGCATTGCCATGTCGAATTCACCACCTCTCGAAGTTCAGCAGGTGTGACGCGAGCCGTTGTGAAGACCCGGCCAAGAAGCTTGTGCAAGCTACGCACTTTCACAGACTGGACTTCATTGAGAGAGAAGTGAACTACTTGATCCTCAATGATCTTCGTGGCCATAGTGTCCTGCAAAGAAAAGCTCGGGTTAATATCCCTTAACGGCGCGCCACAGGGGCTAGCTTCCAGAGCCTCGTGAGCGCTCAACCTTGGTGTGGTGTATCCCTGCTTGAGGGTCACCCGAGCACGTGTATCAAAATCCTCGTTAGGTGGGAAAGCAATTAGGAGAGGGGGGATACCTGTGGTAGGCGCCAACTTCCAGAAGAAATCCCAGCTCTTCTTTTCACCGTCCCAACCTTCACGTTCCAATGGTTTAGAGACGAGGTGTGAAGGATTTAAATAGAGCTGTAATCCCAGGAGTTGTATTTCTGTATGGTTTGTTTCCACACGGTTTCCCGACGGGTCACGCAATCTCGGATTCGGATACGTGATTAACTGATCAATATCCTCGTCCCTGCACCCATCCAAATCCTCTCCCTTAACCATTTTTTTGAATAAAATATTATTAACCAAAACCCATTTTGGTTGTTTGTTGCACCGGCGAATATTCTGGGAGATATTCCCTCCCTTTGTTCTCGTAAAATCTGGTATTCTAGACTCCGAGAATTCCAAACCACTGTCTCGCCGCCGGGGTGAGTTCCGCCGACCGCCACATTGTCGTCGAAAGAGATCCCACCAGACAGAAGCTGGGTGGGTACCCTCGTGAACAATACGATAAGAGGTTAAGGCCAGATCATTCACGATTTTCTCCGCCACTTGGCAGAGGTTTAGATCGTAGTCTAGGGACCCCCGCCGTACTGCCAACCCAACATCATGGGAACGTCTCCCCAATCCTGCGTTGATTATTCTCGTCGGTGTACTCACCACCATGGGGGCTGCACCATCTTGGACGTAATTTAGGGTATCTTTTATACCCAGGCCCTCCAATTCTTTCGGCGAAGGTAGCTTCAACCGCCATCCCTTCTTCTTCCAAACCAATCGTCTTCTCTTTGTTTGGGAGTAGTTTATATCACACTCCACCATTTTTGTCACCAACTTCCTTTTCTGACCCCTACGCCGCGGATGGGCACTTCTCTGCCGTTGCCAGAGCCCATACCCTGTTTCCGGCGCGGCGTGAGGAGATGAACACGAACCCTCAAGCACCCTCTTTGCCTTCGGTTTCTCTGGAATCCATTGTTTTTGGCATTTGGTGATGAACGCCATAGCATACAGCTGGTTGCATAGACTCACAAACAGCATCCTCCTTCCCATCTTGAGAAGAGTACGGCCGAACCATCGGCAGACGTAGAGGAGAGAGGAGAGAGCACTCCTCCACATTTTTTTTAGTTGTTAGAGTTTAGTCGTTTAAATCACCCGCCAGGTATATTTCGATTTTGAGAAATACTAAATCCAAACTCACTCCAAAAAATTAGAACCGGCCAACGGTTTTTTTATTGGGTTGGGCCGGGTGGGCTATATTTTTAAGTAAAAACCTAACCCCACACTAAAAAATTATATAACTAGTTAAAATTTCAAGCAAATAAACCACAGAGAAAAACATAAAAATTCATAGAAATCGTTATTTGGATCTTGATGAAGTGCAATTTACTAAAGCATATATCTAGTGTTTTCCATAAGCATTTACCAAAATAAGGTAAAAATGTTATTCATTATATGGTAACGCATCCATATATATTATTCTTCTAAAATTGTAGACAAAAAAAATTTGTGAATCATACCCAATTTTAACTACGTCTAATATGATAAAATATCCTAATTTTCTAAAAATATATGCTTGTATACGACTTAAATACATTTTGGATAAGAACACTTAAGACAATATTTGTAATATGGGTTGGGTCGGGTATCTACGAGTTGCATAACCCAAAACCTACATGCAACCCAAAAGAGGTGGATTCCACAAAATAAAATCTACACCCGACCATAAACCTTAATTTTAACGATAAATACGAGTGAGTTGCATCGAGTTGGACAGATGACTCGGTTACGATTATTTTTGTTCACCTTAGGTACACATACACCCAGTACGAATTTTCTATTACATAAACTATTGGAGGTAGGGCTTTTTTACATAAATATTGTATATTTAAAATTTATTACCACAAATATAATGCTGAAAAATGTATTGACGAAAATATTGTGTTAGGCAACAAAAGTGCACGACAACGCACGAGTTGAGCAAAATTTAAGCCTTTTGTACGTTACCGCGCGAGCTGAGGGTAACTTACTAAAGAAAGCTCAGCTTGCACGGTAGCACACATGTTGAGCTAAAAGGATATTTTTTATGCTCAGCTCTCGCGCGCGGTAGCGCACATCTGTCACTCTAACGATCACAACACCTGCCAACGGGAAGAAAAAAAGGGCTAGTTTTTTTTTTTGTTTCCTATAGATAGGAGAAGCTAGTTCTCATTTTTCCATAACTTTCTTTCACCCTTTCTCACCACAAATCTAGCATTAAGAAGATCATGATCATCATGTGAGAGAATCATTGTGAAGATGGCCAATACGAGGTAAGATATGCATATTTTTTTATTAGATGTTTGAAATGTTATGAACTGTCAAACTGTTAGTAAATAGTGAATTTGTTTTTGTGTATGTAGTGATTTTAGACGTTTTGAACTAATTGTTCGGTGAGGATTGAAAAAAATAGAGAACAATATGTGCATCAATTTTGTTGGTGACAGAAGCTTTCAGTTGACACTTTCTTGTCGGGTGACGTACGATCAGATTTATGAGAATATAATTTCAAGGATACGACCTAATGACGATACACTACAAGCTAACGATCGGATCACAAGTTTCACTATTGCAAAGCATATCAATGGGACGACTGCTCGAACGTTAATGACTGCTCGACCCTATCTTTGTATGCGGGCACTCTGTCCAAGTACGGGCACCACTACATCCAAATAGTGGTCACATTTTATTTGATCTAAACCTATGAAATGAAAGAATATTCACAATTTAATGGAACATACTAACCACGATGGTTGACACCTCGTCAAAACAACTTGTAATTGTGGAAATGGTTGAAGTGCTTATGGGTGTTGGTCGGAAGCCATCTAGCACCACGTGGGTGAGCATCAGTAGTGATAGGATGCCAAGACTCCGTATCCACTGGTATTATCTGTGAAAATCACTCCCATACCCAAACTTGAAGTAGGTGACCCATGCAGCAAGGTCACCTCCTAAAGAAGCAGATTGTGTAATCTGCAACACTAACCGACTCAACTCACGGTACAAGTAAGTTAAAACAATTGCTCCCCATGCGAACCATCCTCTAGTCCAATCATCCAACAAAAGCAGGTGTAAACCATGTTGCATAAGAAGTTTTGAACCGATCGGATTTGGATTGATTGTCGTAGTTGGTCGTCTCATTGAATAAGTATCCATAATCCTTGGAGTTGAAAAACAACAAAAAAATAATTTTAATAAAAAAACAATAACAAAACAGGCGCCACAGGTGAGCAAACACTTACGCAGGTGACAACCGCTACTGTCGCGCCCTCATCCCCTTCCTCCTCGCTTGGCTTCCTCGTTGCCACTGGAATCACGGTCAGAGTCTGACATTGGTCGTCACCGCCTCTGCCGTTCGCCTCCTTTGTTGTCACCGTGCCGCCACCAATTTTGTTGCCTTCAGATCGTCGAGAGAATAGGGAGGGAGAAGAAGTGGTGGTGGGTAGGGAGGAAAGAGGAAGAAGAGAAGAAGAAGATATGTGTGTTTTCCCGCGGGTTTTTACCTAAATATGTTCAGTTGGGAGGTTCCCGCTCGGGCTGAGCTAAATCTTTTAGGTTTAGCTCAGCTCGCGCCAAATGAATATAGTCCTTTTTGTTTCGCTCAACTCGTGCGGGAACCCGCCAACTGACCTAAATCCCATTGCTTTAGCTTAGCTCACGCATTTGCACGCGTTTTCGTCTCCCAAACACATAAATTTGAAAAAATAATTTTTTGAGTACAATATTGATGATAAAATTTTAATTTTGCAAAACACCCATTGGAAATATTACTGAATTTTTTGTGAGGTGCACATCGATCCATAACCAAAAAAACTGAATCATCCCGTGAATGGCTTAAAAAGAACATCAATCAGGGATTTGCTTTTTGGTTTCTACAGATGTTGTAAAAATCAATAAAATGAAGAACATGAGACAAAGATTTTACGTGGTTTCCACATTCTATATGAACGGGACTAGTCCACGAAGAGTGTGAGCTCTTAGGTTTTCTTATTGATAGACTGATGATGATGATGATGATGATGATGATAGGTTTCGCTACTGCCTTGAACCCTAAATACACGAACCATATTGCCACAACAAGCATCAAGAGTTATGACAAAATCCAGAATGAACACGCTCACAGACGAAATGACAATCCATCTCGACGTGCTTAGTGCGTCCATGGAAGACAGGATTGACAGCAATTTGGAGTGTTGCCTGGTTATCACAGTAAATGGGCGTAGGACGATGATGAGAGACATCCAAATCAAGAAGAAGCCAGCGGAGCCAGATAACTTCACTGACAGTATTGGCCATAGCCCGATACTCTACTTCAGCGGAAAAATGAGCCACGGCAGATTGTTTCTTCGTGCGCCAAGAGATGGGTGAAGAACCCAAAGTGATGAAATATCCAGTGGTCGAACACCTAGTGGTCGGACAACCAGTCCAACCAACATTGCAGTATGTAGTGAGAGAGAGTTTGCCTGTTGTGGGAAGAAAAAGACCACGGCCAGGTGTCGACTTAAGATAGCGAATCACACTAGCAGCTGCAGCCTCGTGAGCCTAAGTAGGAGGGTGCACAGTCTGACTGGCATGTTCACTGCGTAGGTGATGTCAGGCCGAGTAATAGTGAGATATAGCAGACGACCAACCAGACATTGAAAGGCAGTAGGATCTGAAGTTGGAGCCAAATGAGCACGACCGAGATGATGTTGCTGATCAATAGGAGTGTAACTAGGACGACATGCAGTAACCCTGCCTCAGACAAGATATCTAGTAAATACTTGCGCTGATTTAGAACTAGACACTTGGGAGAACGAGTCACTTCAATGCCAAGAAAGTATTTCAAGTCACCCAAGTCCTTGATGGTGAAACGATTATGGAGATGAGTCTTGTACTTTTGAATGAAGGCCATATCAGTGCCGGCGAGGATTACATTGTCAACATAGATGAGAGCGGTGACAAAGGTAGTGCCACGACGATAGTGAATAAGGAATGGTCAGCCTTACTTGGCGAGAAACCTAAACCCAAGAGAGCCTACGTAAAATTTTGGTACCAGTTAAGCAAGGCTTGAAGAAGTCCATAAATGGATTTGCGAAGATGGCAAACTCGTGTGGCACCAGGCTGAGAGGAATCGAGTGGAAATAGTTGTATGTAAACCTCCTCTTCAAGGTCGCTAGCAAAAAAAGCATTATTAACATCCAACTGCTGAATGATCCAACCACGCTGTGCAGCCACAACGAACAGGCAACATACCTTTACCAGCTTAGCCATAGGAGCAAAAGTATCATGGTAAACGATAGCTTCAAATAAAAAGTGTGATATCCACGTTGATTACTAGGATAACCAACAAAGATCCCCGCTCTCCCCCGAGGTGCCAATTTATCCAAACCATGATGGTTATTACGAGAGTACACGAGGCAGCCAAAGCTGCGCAGATGTGTGTAGGCTGGAGCCTTGCCGAACATGACCTAAAAAGGACACTTATTTCCAATATGAGTGAGAGGTAGTCTGTTGAAAAGATAGGCAGCAGTAAGAACGCATTCACCCCATAAATCAAGAGGCAAATTCGCATGTAATCGAAGAGCTCGAGCAGTATCCAGGAAATGACGATGTTTCTGCTCTACTACTCCATTTTGTTGGAGAGTGTCTGTACACGAGGTTTGAAGAACAATTCTGGTCTGCTCATAGAAGTTTTTCAATTCAGTAGTCACAAATCCAGTTCCATTATCAGCTTGTATACGACGAACCTGCATGTGATACTGCGTTTTGACCATGTTGCATAAATAATGCAGATATCTTGTTGCTTCTGATTTAAACTTCAATAAGAACCCAAACTGCACGACTATAATCATCGACATTTGTCAAGAAATAACGAGCACCAGAAAATGAAGGAAGCTGATATCCTCCCCAAATGTCAACATGTATCAACTCAAAACATGTCGTGGTAGTAATAGAGCTAGAAGAAAAAGGATCACGAGTTTGTTTAGCCTAAATGCAAGAATGAAAAATATCATTCTGATCAACAATAGGACTCGAAATGAAATGTTGCAAAATATATAACTTGGCAGCCGAAGGATGCCCTAGACGGGCATGCCACAATCCCGAAACAACCTATCGAACCGAATGCGCCACTGGATGTTTCCCGTCAAACAGCTGCAGATAATATAACCCATCGACGTGCTTACCCATCCTAATCAGCTTCCTAGAGGGTAAGTCCTGAATAACACATAAATCATGTAGGAAGATTAACGCCAGCGGTAGATCAACTATGAGAGACTAACAGAGAGTAAATTGCATTAAAATTCTGGAACGTGCAAGACTCTTCGAAGTATGAGATCATAAGATAATTTTTCCGACCCAATATGATGTACAGGAACCCTGTACCATTCGGTATCCTAATTTGTAAAGCTGGGGTTTTCTCCAGCTCATCAGATAAATTTTGCTGACCCAAGCTAAACTGGAACTGAAATTCGTACCTGCCATGTTGGAGACTGAACTGGAATTAGACACAGCATCCAACAATGACTCTGGTCTGAGAGGTGACTTCAGCTGGGAGAATTGAGCAGTCGTTAAGCCCATTATAGGGCTCTGCTCGATGTCAACTGTGGCTGCATGGGAAGTCGAGTGCTCCCGAGAGTCAGGGCAGCCTGGTTTGCGTCGCTGCACCTGTTCAATTATCTCCGAATTGCAGGGAGATACCCATTGAGTTTGTAACATATCTCCCTAAAGTGCTCGGATTTTTTACAATGGGTGCAGTACGGTCGACCATCCGCATCACGCTCCCCCCTGTCGAGGAGCTCGATCAACCCTTTTCTAGCTATGAGCTTGAAACACGACGACGTCAGCCCTTGATCGTCGATTGTTTGAGATATGACGTTGTTGTTCATCCTTTTTAACAAGATGATAAGCTTCTCCCAAACTTGGAATCGTCTTCATGGTGAGGATTTCAGTTTTGACAGTGTTGAAAGCATCGTCTAGACCCATGAGAAAGTCAAATAACCTGTCGCTTTCCTCGATTGCACGCTGCCTCTGCTTGACATTGCAAGTACAATCACCACAAGTGTATTCCAAAGATGGCACAAGAGAGCTGATTTCGTCCCAATACCCACGAAGTTTGGTATAGAAGGTTGTGACAGATGCCTTTTCCTACTGTAAAAGGCTGATATATAGTTCGTCGTAACTCATATAACCGAGATGCATTGTCATGATCGAACCTAGATTGGATATCTAGCCATATTTCACGAGTCGTCTTGGCGAATTGGACGCTGCTTCGTACGTCCTTGGATATGGATGTCTTGAGCCATCCTTTGACCATGGTATCACATTGTTTTTAGGCGTCATACTCTGTGCCATCCGTCAGCGCTGAGATGGACCCATCGACGAAACTTAGTTTGTTTTTAGCCATGAGGAGTCGGTTATATCTCCCAACCGCTCGCCGTAGTTCAATTCTGTGAGGAGTTCTCCAACAAATAATTGGCTAGGGTTATCAGACTGATGGATGAGGAAGGGAGAAGGCTTCGATGGCAGCCCACTCGTGACGCTACTATCCTTCGACTTGGACAAACTATTGAGAACCTCGTCCGTCCCGCCACTCATCGTTGAAGGTTTACTGTGGATCAATCACAACTCTAATACCATGTAAAAATCGATAGAAACGAAGAACAGGAGACAAAGATTTTACGTGGTTCCCTGTTCTGTATGAACGAGACGAGTCCACGAAGAGCGTGAGCTCTTAGGTTTTCTTATTGATAGACTGATGATAGGTTTCAGCTACTGCCTTGAACCCTAAATACACGAACCATACTCCCACAACAAGCACCGAGAGTTATGGGAAAATACAGAACGATCCCTACACTTATTTACTTAAACAAATAAGGACACGAAGGAATCGTAATAGATGTAAATTGGTTTCCACAATAGAGACCATGGTAGTTTCACCTGAATTTTTAGATTTTTTTACTGTGATTATTAAAAAAAACAATAGTCCAAGCGCATAAATATTAGAGACCCTCATAGTTTCAACTTTCAAGTACTGAAATGTGCATGGAAAATTGTTTTCCGATGCACCAACATCATGTGGGTGTTGCATCCACCGAACCCAATAAATAAATATTTGCATATACAATTCTATTTATTTGTTAGTACACTTATAAGGCAATAATACACATCAAATCAAAGATTTCAATTTTTTTTTTTCGCACACATATATACGTGCGGTCAAACTGCAGCCAAATAATTTGAACAGCTTTTTATCTTTTCTAATTTTATTTTTTTATTTGTCGGGTCTTGGATCTGATAACTGGATTCCAAATTTAAAGTCTGGTCTGCCCGGCTATTTTTCCTCATGATTCCTTTGATGTCATTGTGTGAATTAATCCTTAATTATATTGATTATGGTGCTAATTAGGTAGCCAGCAAGGAAAGAATTAGAGGAGGATCCGCATCTTCTTCCGCCCGGCAGGCTGTCTAGTCCCCCATCCTACACTTGACAGTGATTACTAATCTCATTATTGTATGTTATGCTGCATTTAATTCAGATTATAGATGTTTACTTAATTTCTAATCTAGGTTTTCTATCTTGATTGTTGCACTCAAATTACTGTTGATCCTGAATTAATTAATATATAAGGCTACTACGGCGGAGTGCTAGCTTGTAGCTACAAAATGAATATATCAACTAAATGTCAGTTTTGAAATATAATAAAAGGGTTTGAGAAAAAGACCCCATTCACGTTAGCACAGAGTAGGATTTGATTGGGAGCAATCATGCATTTTAATGGCTAGCATGTTTCTCAGTATTTCTATAACTGAAAAATGAATTTCGTCAATACTATAGTTTGAACAAAATTAAGTAATAAAACTTATAAGTTATAACCAAAAGAATTTAAAAAAATACGAACTTAATTGACCTACGTTGAATGTACAAGACTAGTAACATAAACTATAAAAATTAGATGATTACTTTTGCTATTTGGCCAAATTAAATATTAATTAATTATACAATCAAATAATTATTAAAAATAATTAAAAAAATGAAGAATTTAATTGACCTACTTTAAAATTACTAGACTTATAAAAAACTCTCAAAATTAAATGATAAAATTTGTTCTTGGTAAAAGTAAACTAATAAATTTAGTGTTATATTAAACTAACAAATGTAAAAAGTTTGCCTTCTTACAGACTCAACCTAAACTACCTAATGAAAAACTTTTCATTAGAGTTAGACTATCCAAAATTAATGTGTCATTATTCGACACGGACTCTATTTATAACAAACTCCTATACAATATTGTACATGATTACAAAATTCGGTGTGGGGGAGGATGGGGGTGGGGAAGAGAACACCTAGCGTCTTGTACCCGCAAAGAAGATCTCTTTTTGACAAAAATTTGCATCCCCTTTTACTCATACGATCCTGTCTCACGTATCAAAGAGTGGTCACGTCTTTCTTGTGAACCTCAGATGATGAAATGTCTGGAGAACCTAACAACACAGATCCTTGTAACGCATACAAGTTACCATGCTTCATGTCTTTAAATACCTTTCTTGAACATTTACAGATATACACAAGTCCACTTTTTCCCTTGAAACTAAGACCCTTGCTATATAGTAGACTTAAGGAAATTAGATTCTTGATCATTAGTGGAACATGTCTAACATTGTCCACTGTACAAAACAAACCATCATGTGCGCGAACTATGATGTACCCTATTTCCAACAACTTTGCAAACAACTCCGTTGGCCATAACCATGTTACCCTATCTATCTGCTCATAAGTTGAAAATACTCTATGTTTGGAGACATATTACAATATGTTGCAGTATCTAGCAACCATATATCTCTATGATGTGACTTCGCATCTACACCAAGATGATATCGTCTTTTGAAATGGTGTTGACTTTTACTGCGACCGCATATCC